TATTCAAGCCGTAATTTTTGACTTCTTCTCTCACATGTGGACCCCACTTTTCTTCTAACAGTCAAAAAATCAATTCTCAAAATTCCTACCAAACGGGCCCTAAAGTGACGTTCCAAAGAGAAGTAGTTCGATTATTATGTCACATTTAACACTTTTGTCACACTAGTGCCAAAGTCTATTGAAGACATATTGGCGTATTCCGTGGCGAGGTTAATCGATGCAAAATTATTTTTAAACAATTTGCAATTAATTTATTTTAAATTTTGAAGAAACATAATATGACGAATAGGACGTCTCAAAATCTAGTTAAGTTTACACTTAATATTTAGCCCCTATTTGACATCCTTAAAATTAAAAAAAAAACATATTTTTGAATAGTATTTTTAGAAAAATGTTTACCTCTGCTTGTTTCTTATTTTTGGAAGAATGAGAATGAAAAATATAGTCGTTGCGGACCCTAAATAAGATATAGAAATTCAAATTTGACGGCTCGATGTGATGAAGAACAATCATATTTTTCATTTTAATGAGAAAATGATGAGAACCAAATAGGGATTTAGTTAAAAAAATATGAAAATTTTTAAATTTATAAGTAAAATATTTTATTGTGTGAATGTGTGGATTAAAGTGAATATGAGAAATAAATTGAATTAAAGTAAAGGATGTCAAGATGCTTAGTCAAAATATTGAAAATAATTCAAATTTTATTTTTAATTGCTGTTGTTATCGGCCGCGAGTTTGGTCCAACCGAGGTAGCATAGGCCAACCAAATCTACAGAGACTTTTGCTTCGAATGTCCAATGTGATTATCTGGATAATAATTGCCTTAATGACTTCTTATGAGAACTACGAAGAAAATATATTATTTTTTTTGGAGCACACGGCGTTAATATTTGAAAATGCATCTTCCATTTGGCGGTTGTATTCGAGTCTCCTCGTTAACATAACATCAGCGAGTATATAAATTTCCGTAGATTCTATCGATCACAGCATCTTCTTTAAATTCTTTTTCTTTTCCATCTTTCAATGCCCATCTGTAGTTAGAGTTTTTTAAACTTCATATATTGACATTTTTCCATTTGTCCTTGTTCAAGTCCATTTTTCTGAATTGTTTTGACAAGAAATTCATTTTTTAGGGCGTCTGGTTAGAAATTAGAAAAAAAGTTTTAGATTTAAAAAGGTAGAATATGTGTGGTTGAAAATTATTTTCAAACACACACACACACACTAGTTATTGGAGTTAACTGTTGAGCGCAAGAAACAGATGGGATTTTTGAGCAGTTTCTTGGGAATTTTTGGTTTTGGAATAGGGTTTCTTATTGGCGTTTTAATTGGATTCTATTTCTTCATTTATTCTGAAAATAAAGATGTCGAGGTAATATTTGTTCTGTCAAGTTCTTTATAGTTCTTGTTTTTCTCATTCAGTATTACATTTGAAAGTTTAAATGACCTGTTTATATGTTCCTTCTTCTTTTTTTCTTTTTCTGTATTTTTTTGTTTAATTGTTTACATTTGAATTTTTATGGGTTCTTTTAATTGCATTCATGATGAAGACTGTTTATGGTTCTTGATTTCATCTTGATTCTATTTCTGTTGGGGAAGAATGCTGGTTTGTTCTGTAATCTGACATAATTAATTACAAGATGAAGTGACTAGGAATTTATATGCATTTAATCGAGAACTGTTATTTGATTCTTTCAAAACTATTTTCTGTATTATTTTTATTAATAGTTTGATCATCATCATCGTTCCGATCACGGTATCTAATCAACCGAAACCTAGTCCATAAGAAATAGATTTGCTAATGGAATTACATGTTGGTTCAATTTATGATATCAAAAATTGCTTGCGAAGTGTAATCCTTTTTCCTTTTTCCCCTTTTTTTCTCTTCTTTTATCAGTTAATATCACAATTTTGAATTCAGAGAGTAATCGAGGGCTCAAAACTAGCTTCTTGTGTTCCACTTTTCTGAATGGTAGATTCAAAGTGGGAATATCATTTTTTTTTTCTTCAAAAAGAAATTAAAATTGTGTGGTCTCAGAATTGTTGTTTTATATTTAATGTTTGACTCACGTTTTTACCTTTTGTGTGGACATTGCTCTCACATTGAGGATGAATCACTAGAAATATGTGTGTTCTTGTTCTTGTTCTTGTTCTTTTATAATTTCTTTATTTGTTTGTTGTCATCTATGAGCTAGGGACTGCAATTTAATCCATAACCAAATCATGGATGAACTTTTTGGTAGCACCTGGATAGTTCTTATACTCAATTTATGCCACATTTAGTTGCATTTTTTTTCACCCTTGTTCATTTTTAAAATTTTTATATTCTTGATTGTCTGACCATACATTGTTTAGTGGAGTAATTGAATTACTCATTGAAAGTGCGCATGTACTGAGTTTTGTACTTGTAAAATTAATTTCAGGATCCGGTTACTAGGCCACTTTCGGAGCTTGAAACAATTTCATTAGAAGATCTAATGCCCGAGATTCCTTTGTGGGTAAAGAGACCTGATTATGATCGAGTGAGTATTCCATTATGCAATTAGTTACTGAAAGCCTTCCATGTAGTCTCTTTTTCCCCCTTGAAATCTTTCTATGTAGTAATTATTATTTACTTTGTTTAACCTGTTTTCTTTTTGTCACTTTAACTTATGATACACCATTTTCTGATATGCAGGTTGACTGGTTAAATAAATTTATCTTACATATGTGGCCTTTCATTGATAAGGTATTTGCATAACCACGAGATTTCAGTTACTTGGCCGAGCTGGTGTATTTCATCTAATGCATGATGTACAGGCCAGTCATAGCATAATTCGAAGCACGGCAGAACCTATATTTGCAGAGTACATAGGGAAATTTAAGATAGAATCAATTGAGTTTGAGAATCTAAGCCTTGGAAATCTTCCACCAATAATTCATGGTGAGTTTCTCCTCATTATCTTTGGTTAATGCTATTGAATGTGTTATATTTTCTGCTTAAGTATTCACTACCAGCTGCTTTCCAAGTGTCCGCCTTTTCACTTTATCGCTTTGCTTCCCGTTTTGAGACTCAACAATTATAGGATAGCACCTGAGAGAATTACGAAGAACATGGACGTTTCTTGTACTAGGAAATTTAGAATGATAACCGGTGCTTGAATTTTTATTTATTTGGTTACTTTTTGGAGGAAACAAGTATTATCTTATGACTTTTGCAATGTTGTACATATGGGTAAACGTTCAGTTTCAGTCCTGATATTGTATATGACTTTAATTTTAAGTTTTTGAAGTAGAATTACATTTTGGAAGACAGTTTGTTGCTAATTTTTCTTCATTTCTTGACAGGTCTCAAAGTTTTTGAGACAAATGAGAGAGAGTTGGTAATGGAACCAGCTTTCAAATGGGCTGGAAATCCAAATATCATTGTGACACTAACAATTTCATCCGTACAAGTAACAGTTCAGGTCAGTGAAGCGCGGAGAAATTTTCTTTGAGAGGGAAATATTTTATTGAATATCTGTGAAGAGAATATATGTTTCTTCGATGAACTGACATTGCATCTTTTTAGCTAGTGGATTTACAAGTATTCGCCACACCACTGATAACTTTGAAACCACTTGTGCATACTATTCCATGTTTTGCAAACATAGTCGTGTCTTTGCTGGAGAAGGTAAGCAAACTGTTTTCGAGATTGAATCTACCTTTTTTTTCCCTATTCTTCTGTTAATTGGAGGAATTTATTATTTTCTCTAAATCATCTTTTATTTGTTCAGCCACATATTGACTTTGGAATAAAAGTTTTGGGTGGGGACATTATGTCCATTCCCGGCCTCTATCAATATATTCAGGTAGCGTATCGGTTTTCCTAAGGTTGGAGCAAAAGATAGTTTTTTGTCATTTTCTCGTCAAGCTGTGTTATCTGATGGCAGGATATTATTCAAAAAGAAGTAGCAAATCTTTACCTTTGGCCAAAGTCTCTTGAAATATCAGTCCTTGATGCTTCAACGTGAGTGGCTTTCCTTAAATCGCAGAACTTCTAGTTAATAATTATTCTGAAAATTTATAGTTTTGCTATTCTCAATTTTAAGTGTGTTCAACTTCTAAAACTGAGATTTATTGTTCTGTTACCTTGTGAGTTCTCTAGAGTGTCCATAAAGAAGCCTGTTGGAATATTGCGTGTAAAAGTTGTGCGTGCAACAAAGCTTCTGAAGATGGATTTACTTGGATTATCCGATCCATATGTTAAGCTAAGGCTTGGTGGAGAGAAACTGCCATCTAAAAAGACCACAATTAAGAAAAAGACATTGAATCCGGAGTGGAACGAGGAGTTTAAGCTTTCTGTGAAGGACCCTCTGTCTCAGGTTCTTCATATAGATGTCTTTGATTGGGACAAGGTTTCTCCCTTAATCTTATCTGTTTCCATTTTTTTATGACATAATTTAAGGTGAATTAGATAGATCTAGATGGTATAAAAGAAAAAAAGATACTAAAATCTTGTTCATTATGCTGTCCAATATATCTATTACTGCGTACCAAATGTTCAAGTAATGTTTATGTATCCTGAAGTAATGAAGTAAAACAGAGGATGATGATGATGAAGCTGTTAGCTACCGAATCAAAACAATATTTCTAAATCTCATTTTCTTAGTGCTAGTGCTTTTTTTACCTTACCGAAAGGTTTGGTGTCTTGAGCTGCCATAATCTCTTAACTTTTGTATGGTCAATCATGGAACTTGTATTTTTGCCTTCTATTTTCTTGTTGCTCATAATCACAAATGAATTTCTGCTGCAAAGCTTATCACCAGTCCGATGAAAATCTTTAATTAGTAAGTGAAGTCTTGAAAAGCATCTCCGACGTTGTGAAAAATCTCTAGATTTTGGACATGATAGTTATTGTCTTCTTATCAAGTGTATCATATTTATTTGGAGGTGCAAGATAAGTTCATCTTGTCTATATCCATTTTTCTTTAAAGGTATCATTATTTACAGGTGGGGGCACATGACCTGCTTGGGTCTCAGTTAGTTCCTTTGAAACTGCTGACTCCCAACGAGACTAAAGAATTAGTACTTGACTTGCTTAAGAATACAAGTATTAATGATCCTCAAAACAAAAAGCAAAGAGGGCAGATAACGTTAGAGCTCACATATGCTCCTTTCAGAAACGACCTTGAAAGTTTCAGCGGTTGTCTGGATGGAATGGCTCGGAATGATAGTATACTCAACAGGGCATCCAGCAGTGTAAGCCCAAAGGGAGCAGGTTTACTTCTACTTACAGTTCAGGGAGCACAAGATGTCGAGGGATCACGTCACAACAATCCATACGTGTTGGTGATCTTTCGAGGCGAAAGAAAAAAATCAAAGGTAATGTTAGACAAAATCCTCCGTTCTCTGGGTTATAACTTTTAGTTATTGTTTCTCATGCAAATAAAGATTTGAACGTGCTTTCTCTTGGAATACTTGAAATTTTAGGTTGACTGACATTATTTTTCCATTCTATTGTGTAGGGAATAAATAAGATGACGGAGTATATAAATCATAAAAAACCATTAAATATGTCTATCACAAAACTTTCTAGGCTTGTTTGGTAGGATGAATTATCCAGGAATAGACAATATAAGGAAGAAAAAGAAGTTTGCATCTTGTTTATTCTAGTGTCTAGTCTTGTGTAGCACTGTGCACCTAAAGTTATGTTACATTTTTTAGTCTCTGCATTGATAAAACAATATATTTGCGTCCAGAGGCAGTACAAAGCTAATAGTTTGCATGTAGCGAATAACTTTTGCAGGTGATAAAACAGCATGAGTTTCCTTGAATTACATATTTATTCTAGATTTACTAAACGGTACTACTTGAAATTCCATCCAAAGATGTTAATTCGACTAATGAAATATTACATAGTTAGCTAACAAATTATGAATATCCACTCTTCTTGTTTCTCTTTTTAGTCTTTCCTTCCTTTATTTTCATTTTCGATTATGCAATAACATTTTTGAATGGATATACCGCAATACTTTTGCGACATGGTTTCTTAGTGAGTTAAAGTAAATTTGGCATATTCAGATGATAAGAAGAACTCGTAATCCGATGTGGAATGAAGAGTTCCACTTTATTCTTGAAGAACCTCCTTCACAGGATAAAATTCAGATAAAGGTTATGAGCAAGCGCACGGTCGTTGGTTTCAAGTCGAAGGTACCTCAGGAATATTCTATGCTTATTTATTGCTTTTAATTTTCGCTCCTCTAAATTATGATAGCTCAAGCTCTCATAATCTCAAACTCTTACATTATGCAGGAATCTTTAGGACATGTGGACATTGATCTCGGTGATGTTGTGCACAATGGACGTATTAATCACAAATACCATCTAATAGATTCGAAGAATGGAGTGATACATGTTGATGCACGGTGGAAAATCATATAAAGAGAAGGCATGACAACATAATATATGCCATCCATTAGGTAAATTTGTTTATGACTGAAGAAGTTTCAGCATGATCATATAAGATATAAAACAAGACAAGAAACCACAGAACTGTACATAACTTTTGTGCTTGACCCCTTTGAAGCATAATTATAATTATTTTTACTATGCATAATACATGTTTTATTTCTTTTTTTAAACGTTTGTCGTATTAGATGAAACAATAGCTTCTCTTCTACTTTCTTTGGGGTGTGTAGCACAATGTTATTTTTCACTAATACATTCGAAGCGGTTTTTTTTTTTTAGGTTCCACAATTTTTTCCGGAGTTTCTCTTCCATGTAGTTTATGTGTAACTCTCTTGATATATTAGTTAACTGCGAAAAATGGAAGTCAACAAATTCCTCGTCACCTCCTTGTCTAGTCACGTCTCCAAGCTCTTTTCCAATTACCAAAATTCAGGTAGAGCAGCTTCACGTCGACAACTGCTTCCGAGAAAAGACTTAGATTGAAGATTAAAATTTGGCTTGAGTTTCTAATATTGCTTGCTTATGAAATTCTAGGTATATATAGGTTTCTTTAGCCTATGGACTTTCAGTCTTTTTGCTTTTCTTGAACAAGTGTCGCCTCGCTATTTGAGGATATCCTTAATAGATTGCAATTCTAGATGGTTTTATGACACATGGCATTTGTATTCTGTTTGATTGTTGCTTTTACAAGATTGCTTTTGCCATGTGGAGCCTCGTTGATGCTGCTACGTGTCTATAAGGATATTTGAGTGTTCTTGTAGCTTTAGTTGTATACTTGCTTGATTGTGAATAATCGAATAAAAAAGTTCGTAGGTAAAGATTCACTTTGTAGACTTCATAAACCCCATTCTCGTTGCAAGATTAGGGGTTCAACTTTGATTTAAACTGGAATTTGGGAGGTTGTGACCATAGCGAAGCTTATTCAAGCCTTATTTTGTACTGACATTGTTTTGATTGGTTAAGCGACTTTCCACTTTACAAAAGGTCGAACTGGCGTCCTTGTTGAACTATTTCATGCCATGTGGATTAATGATGTAATGATATTTATTTCTTATAAAAGAAGAAATAAATGGAATTAAAATTCATAATAGAAAATTAGACAATTTATTGTTTGATATGGGATATTTTTCATGGAAAATTTTTCGTTTAGATTCGGCTCTACCCAAACTTTTCTAGTTTGCCCCAACATTCCCCACTTGTCCGTACTCGAGGACCAATCTCTGTCTTGCCCGAAAAAACCTTTACACGCCTATTGTTTGATAGCCCAAATTTTTCAAGGAATTCATTTTTCATCTACCCCTTCCACGTGACCTATTTTTGTTGAATTGGTTTTGGTGAGAATGTTTTTCAGCCTCTTTATTATTTTTTATTTTTTTGGGGAATGAAAATAAATTCTATCCACAATTGTAAAAAAATTTATCCATTTAATTGACAATTTTCATGAAAAACAAAGTTAAATAAATACTAAAAGATCCAAAATTTAAACATTTTTTAAGTGAAAAATTACAATAATCAAATAAGTAACTAACAATTTTCAATAAAACAAGTTTTAGGTAATTCAATTTCTTGAAATTCGTTTTCTTTCTATCCAAATTTTATTTTTACAATCAAACGGACCCTTAGATTTTTCTAGACCTTTAAAAATTCTCATACTTATTTCAGGAGTTGTGGGCTTTATAGATCAGATTAATGGACTTGCAGCCCATGAACCGCTTTTAAAATTGTAACTGAAGGGCCAACCAAATAGTGCAGATATTATTGTAGTGCACTTTAGGCTTAACTTACAACAATGTGGGCCTAAAATACAAATGAAATCTATTATCTAATATATATATATATATATATATATATATGTATATATATA